AATGTGTGTGTTATTTGTCGTTAATGTAAACTTTTTTCTGTGTTTGCATTATTTTATAACTAATATTTCACTATAAAAGTAATTACTGCACAGAATAATGAGATGTTTGTTAATTGTGCGCAAATTAGAGCAGGATTTTCAATAGGAATTTATATTATGGTAAATATACAGTCGTCTCGTATTACAACTAACAGAATATTATTCACCACTCAATCAAATGTTTTCAATAGAGGGACAGACGTCTGAATAGAGGCCAGAATTAATAAAAATATTCAATGTTTTGTGCGAATAAGCTATGTTAACATCCGTATTATAGATTGACCCTGGTGTTCTGGTGTTATTACTTGAGGTCAACTTGTATAACAACTTTATACATGTTTTTTAATATGTTGTTTACTGTTATGAATTACTTAAAATTAAAATACTTACAAGCGTTATGCCATGTCTGTCCGAGAGATAATTGTCTTTAAAGCCGATGTGATAATAATTTAGGGCTATAGAAGTAGATTAGCGACATTTTTATCGGCTAATGGCCATATACTGAATTACGGTAGCCGTTCGAACATTTTATCTATGCATATTTTAGCTTTTATTAAGTATTTTGCTCTAATAATATACACTCACTTTATACGTGTCGCCTCTGTGTAAGATCTATGAAATATAAAGTGAGTGCTTATTATTAAAGCAATATGATTGACAATACCTAACACATGCATACATTAAATGTTCGGACGGCTACCGTAATTCAGTATTTGGCCATTAGCCGATAAAAATGTCGCTAATCTACCTCTATAGCCCTAAATTATTATCACATCGGCTTTAAAGACAATTATCTCTCGGACAGATATGGCATAACGCTTGTTAGACTACTGACTTTTATTAAGATCCAAATTGTAGTTTATTGACATATAAATTATGATACATTTACATTTAAATACCGCTCTTATCTAAATAATACATGATCATGGTAATCTTTATAATAGTTTAAATGTACATTACATTATCACATTATTCTATAGTGAATAATTCTAATGACTTATAGTTATTAAAAGCAATAACTTTATTACTAAATATAAGAATAAAAGTAAAACTTTGTTTTATATTAAAAATATTAATCAATTTCTAGTCATTATATAAATGATTTAAAAACAAATTCATTAATTGAGATGAACAGCATTTCTAGCACTCATACCATCCATTCATTGACGTTCACATAAAATATAGAGGAACTGGTGTTTGAGTTCTGTCGGGAACTCTTTGACTGGAGAAGCACTCGACTGCCGGCGACCTCTCGGCGTCCAAAGCGACACATAAGCACGGATTTGGCCGCAGATCTAAAGTCGTTGTTGAGATAGCAGTATATGAATGGATTAAAACAGACGGAACTGACGGCCAACCAGTAGACGAAGAGGTAATACGGAGAAAAATTACAGTCGTTGGGCAGCAATGGTGTGATGTAGAAGTCGATCATATGGATCAGATGGACGGGCAGCCATGCGATGGCAAACGCCAACAGAGCGATGGTTAGCATTTGAATTGTCCGCCGTTTAGATCGGCAAAACTCTCGGCTTTGTTGGTCAGTCACTGCGCCTATACAAGCAATAAATCAATTAATGATTAGATTGCAATTGTAATTTCAATGAAGTAATTATCTTTAATTGTAATGTAATTAAAATAAATGAATTCATTGTCAAATAAATTTTTAACAATCGATATATTAAGTGCACCTCTTTTTGCGTTCAAGGATTTCTTTTGGTTATATATTGTAAATTATATTTGATTATTGTTATTATAGTATTATTGTTATTATTATTAACTATTGTCTAATAATAAAACTTTCTTTTATCATTGAGAGAAAATTGTTGTATGAGTACAACTGCCTAACAAATAGTACACAAAATACTGTACTTATTGTACAATTTTCGCAATTTTAAAGTTTATAAAGAAATAAGAAAAATACATTTTATAGAAAAAAATTGACCAAAGAATACATTACCGAGTCTTTTGCGTGAAATGATTTTTATTATACAAAATGCATATAAAATGATAGCAATGATGAGAGGGATGGCGTATTGGGTGATCATCACGAAAGCTGCCCTAAACTTCCTGAACGGACCCTTCGAGAAGTAAGTCGACGGAAACGCTATCCGACAGTGAATAAGATGATTGGGTGAGAAGTATGTCATTATCCTCATCGACACCATTGTTGGTAAGACACAGATTGTGGCCAAAAGCCAAATGCAAACGATGGGAATCCACGGCTTCATGCGTTCAGCCATTGGATAGTAAACGATACGAAATCTGTCGAAAGCGATGA